TTCCGTGTTTGCAATTCCTCTTAGCTAAAGTTTACCTTCCCTAGTTCAGGCATAGTCCTTACTAACTGTCGGAGGATAACTTCGCAGATAACCTGTTAATTAAACTTAAGTTTAACTACATGTAAACTGTGTAGCTAGAGAAGAATTCATATAGCAATAGGGATTTTCATCGGCAGGTGACTAACCCTTCGATGGGGCACACACGGTGTGGTCTGGAACACGCAATCGCCGTAACCCACTATGAAGTGTTGACCCAGGTAAATCCAAAGTTTAGTCACTAAGGCCACTGATTATTCTCGCCTTAAGATCATTCCCGTAATTTTGATCACTTTTATTTCTTTTCGCTTTTAAATTTTAATTTTGAACTAGACCCACTAGTTAAGTCCAGAGAAATAATTTCGTCTTAAGACAATTATTTCATCTTGGCTATCACCTTCACAGGACATACTCTCGGAACCACATAAAGTCTTGGCCTCCTAACATCCACAGCTAAGATAAGGATACAAGACACACTTCACTAGCTAGCCACACGTGAAACACCTAGCTTTATGCTACATACCTAGTGAACCCGTTAAACCGTGGTTCTGAACTTTTAGGGTCATGCATTAGTCTCTCCCTACAAGTGTGACAATAGTCACAGAGCCCCTGCTTCACCTGACCTTAACCTTTCAGCTTACCAAAGACTATGACAAAACAATGGACACTATGAGAAACCACCTCTCATTACCCCTCCAACCACCCACGGACGCCGTCTGCACAAACCGACAACCGGTGCTCCAGACAACCTGCGTCAACAAGCACATGCTGCGTGCACTAAACAACATTCAGCGTTCTGCACCTGATGCCATCACCGCGCCACGGCCTGTGATGCCACAGTGCAAAAGGGGGGTAATGCCAATGTATGCCGCTGCACGCCGCAGCACCAGAGACACTTGCAAGACACCGAAGCAAGTGGCATACCGGCGAAATTTTTCCTCCCTTTCTCTCTTTCTCTCTCCCTTTCACTTTTACCAGGATGCTGCTGTGCCTCCAGCCAACCAGAGGGCAACCGCACTCGGATATCTCACCAGGTCTGGCACCAGGACTCCTTTTCTGCCGGACCCGCACTCAGAAAGTGAATGTGCCACCTGATCCTTACAACGCCTACAGAACACACTACCCCAGCGTAACAACACAATACAGCTGGGTAGGTGCCGATGGACAAAGGACTCCCGCACTCACGCTGAGACCGTGGTTGAACACATGCTCAAGCAACTTGAGAAAATGACTGTCACGCTAGCGGAGCCAGGTGGCCACAACCACCGCCGCACTGCCGTCAGAACTCTGTTTAACACTTGTATGTCCAGCATGAATGCAGCAAACCTCGCCAACGTGGGACGGCATGTAGCCGAAATTCAGACTGAGATTCCACAGATAAAAGAGCACTCACAACAGAGTGCATGCCTGCAGACCATCGACAAGACACTGAAGGGAACTGTGGTAACTTTCAACACTCACAGCGTTGAACCCCATGCACTCCAACACTCACTCCATGAAACAGCTGTTTACTGTCTTCCAGAATGACTTTGCTCAAACTCAGCTGGTAACAGCCTGATGACAAACCTGCTGTAGGGGGTGAACTCCTCCATCGACAGCCTCGCCGTGGGTAGAATTCCACCGCACCTGATACCCTTAAGCCTCGTGAAAACCGTGCTGGCGTCCGCCATCACCACGCCAACTGACTCTTTACAAATACACCTTTCCTACTCTCTGGGTAGTGCCATCCCTCTCTGCGTCGACTACAAGCAGAGAAGGGGGGGGGGGGGGTTTCTCTTGAACTTGCCCATCATAGAGTCAAGCCGAATCTACCGGCTCAAGAACATTGTCAAGGTCAGATTTTGAAAAGTAACATTCACATCAAGATCCACACGCCGGACGGGGTTGACTGCAACGACAGCAACACAAAGCCGTCCTAAGCTCCGAACCCGTACGTGTGCACATTGACCAAAGAAATTCACTATCTCTGCCCTAACAAGCCTTTCCTCAGAGACAACACTGACGGAATCTGCGGGCTGCAGATCAGCGACACCCGCTGCCCTGCCGAAGCCAAGCCACGCACTCAAGGCATCAAGACCCAAGCAGAGAGTGTAAGTGACAGGCGGCTCGCTAACACTCCTGTGCGCACAGCTGCACTCACTTACGACCCGAATGACACTGACACCTGTGTCACCTCGCTCCACTAGAGCCTGTGAATCCAAGCACCGAAAAGTGCCATCCTTCACCTTGACGACCTGGCATGGTACCATCTTCCATGCAAAGAGTACAAATTAAACTGGAAATCCCATCCTTCTCCAGGAACCACACTTTCACCCTAACTCCAGAACGGGAGTTGTGGTTTTCGAAAGGGGGGTGATCCCAGCTAATTGACATTGCTCCTATCCACACAGCCCTCCAAGCTGTGTCTCGACTACCCATTCAGACTACCTAACCTGGTTTTCCAAGCCTGGACCGCAGCCGACACTGCACTGTGTACCTCTATGGTAGTCAGACACACCCTGACACTGGGCTTGACCTTCATCCTATACAGGAGACTCAACGAGATACAAACACCTTCAGCCAAGCTCACGAAAGGTTTCGGACGAAACCCGCAAAAAGGGGGTGCCAAGTCAGAGACCAGGCCAGAGGCAGCTTCGAACCTCATAGAGCTGAATCCTCAGCCCTAATAACCACCTGCTGCATGAGTCATGATTCACCTGCCATCCGCCCATTGTGATGTGTCGTCCAATGATGTCCACAAAGGGACGTCATCGGACGAAAAGGGGGACTGTAAGGTATGGACTGTCAGTTGACTTCCCCCTTTCCTCAAGCAAGAACGTGTGTACAACACACACACACACACTCTCTCTCTCAGGAATGGCCAGAGCCATAAAATGCTTGAACATTCCATGCCTTCCCCCATTTCTGCAAGAGAGATAACAGAACTCTAACACACACACACACAAACCAACACACACACATGATGGACTTTTACATTACACTCATAAAACGAGCCATTACCAATTGTATACGATATATTCCTGTATGTCTGTGTGTTTCCCAGTCCATGGTAGTCTAGATATGATCTAGCGTATCAGTGAAACTCTTGAGTTTATAGTTATGTTTTAAGATGTATCTTCGTATTCCAATTATGTGTAAATGTTTTGTTTGGTACCGTTTTAATTATCTCGTTCCAACTGATTTGGTCAGATACAGAAGATTACAGTAAAATGTATGTTTTCTATGTTTTTACCATCTTGTGGAATGATTCTGACAAATTCTGACTGGTCATAAAAGAGGCGGACACGCCATAGTTTAACTTTGACAAGACAAAGAGAATTTGGCCGCCAAAAGTTTCGTTGAATGTCATTGGCCAGTTCGCACCTCAGAGGTGTGGACTCCAGTTCCTCTAAAGAGGACTGAGCCTCCCTCTGGACTCTCTCTTCCTCCCTTGTCCTCGTGTCATAATGTAACGTCTCGCCTCCGGGCGAACTCTTCGCCTTTTTATTTGTTTCTAGTTTAGTTTGTGTTTTTCAGTTGTAGATAAGTCTCTGTGTTTAATTCCAATCGACGATTGAAAAGAAAACCCCGTGACATATCTCTTCAGCAAATCCATCTACAAGGGACCTTTAAACGAGCGCGCGCTCGCTTTGAAGGAGAAACACGCGCACGTGACCGCGTGACGCGCCGGACCGAGCGAAGCACGCGCTTCTTCGCCAGCCATGCACAGATGGAACATTAACTCCTCGTGATTCCCCCCGTTCTACGAAGTGAAACGAACTCAGCCGAACTATTTTCCTTTGGTAATGTTACCCCAAAGACTGTGAACCTCCGTTCAACACGCGCGCCAAGCAGCCCACGTGATGCTTCCTCACACACAAAGGAATCCTCTCACGCACGCGGCCAGACAAGGCCGCGCAGGATTGCCGCGATACAGAGAGACCAAGAAACTTGCGCAAGTATATCTCTTTATAGAGCTTCTAAGAAGTTTTAAGATGATGTTTCGTGTTGTAATCGGAGAGGTGAATGTCTTCCTGCCAATGAAATTCTCCCAATTTTCTCTGTTCTCTCTCTCCCCATCCCCTTTCCTCTCTCTCTTACTCGCTCACACGTGTAAGTTATCCATTGTCCAAACTTTACGCATTTCTCGTTCATTGATGTCTTATTGTATTGTTCATTGATGTCTATGTGTTTGTAAATACATATATCCCGTGTAACCGTAGTAAATACATAAGTAGTCATGCCTCTATTAAATTAATTATATATTCATTTGATTGATGTGCTGTCTCTTTGCTCAATTTCAAGTCCCTTAAGTGCAAAAGGTCTTATGCTACATGCTTACTAAAATTAAAAATACCTTAAAGAGTATGTGTTGTGTTTATAGGTGGGGAAACCCAATTCTTCTGGCCAGAGAATTGCGTCTCCTGAAATCCTATAAAGTAAGATGATATTGTGGATCCCACAAATATTATCCTGACAATTGAGCTAATTCATTTTACCTGTTTTGTGAAACGTGGTCCGTGTAATTAATTGCAATCAACTTGTGGTTAATTTCAAGGAGTCACATGCATGCAGGTAAAATGACAGATCCTCCCTTATCGGGAGATTTATTAACATGTAAGACTGATCTAATCCAAACATGTATGAATAACTATTAATTACCAATTATTAATTATGATATGCAAATTCCCCACGGATTAGATCCGCCCTGAATCCTTACAATACGGTTGAGCACCATTGATAACATAGATTTTTTTTCTTAAGCACCAAATCAGTGTGTGTGTGTATATATATATATATATATATATATATATATATATATATACAGTATATATATATCCTAAATGCAGTCTTGGTAAGCATAAGAGACTTCATTCAAAAACCAACCCTAAACCTTTGAACAATAGTGTATTTATTTTTAGTATTTAACTTTGTATTTTAACTTGTATTTTACTTGTAATTGACATTGTGTTTTAATGTTAAAGGGTGGTATTATAGGGATTTTCATTGACTGGAGTTGTAACTTGGACTTCCCAGAACGCTTCTGCATTCCAAGATATTCTTTCAGCAGACTGGACAACAAAAATCCTGAAAATAACGTTGCCCCTGGCAACAATTTCCGGTACATTAAAAATTTAGATTTTTGATTGTAACATTTTGTATCAAAAGCTATCTTTATTTCTATTGGATAACAATTTTGTACTTTTCCACAGATATGCTAAATATTATAAAAACAATGAAAGCATTGAAACACGGACATTGATAAAGGGCTTTGGAATCCGCTTTGATGTGATTGTGTTTGGGAAGGTTTGCCTGCTAGTCTCTAAGGCATGATATAATAACCATCTTAGTCAACCTTCAGATTTGCGTACTCTGTTTTGTTTTGTCTCTTTAGGCTGGTAAATTCCATATTGTGCCCACTATTGTGAATCTTGGGGCCACTCTTGCCTTTCTTAGCTTGGTAAGCACTAATTGTTTTAATTTTATTTTTTAATCACCTATTTGAGTAAAATGACTTTGAATCAAGTATTTTTATATTGTTCCTGAATTTATCCCAGGTGACTGCTGTTTGTGACTGGTTCATGCTTACTTGTATCAAGGACCGTGACTATGCCAAACATAAATTTATTCACGTGGACAAAAAAAGTGACGGTGTGCCACTGGTGAGTAAAAATCACTTACATTTTTCTAAATTATTTACTTATTGCTTTGCAAAATTATATATATATATATATTTTTTTTTTTCCTGATATAGAGCTCCATGGAGAGCACCTCATATGGGACTCCATGATGGAATGGACTGGACACTTTCACTACACTTAAAACCATCAGCATCAAATATGCTCTTGTATTTTCTTCTTACACTAGGCTACCGTTCAAAAGTTTGGGGTTGGTAAGTTTAAAAAAAAAAAATTCAAAGAAGTCTCTTAAACTCAATAAGGCTGCATTTCAGAAAAACTACATTATTCTAAAGTATTATTACAATTTAAATCCTGTAATGGCAGCTGAACTTTCAGCATCATTAATCAAGCCTTCAGTGTCACATAATCCTTCAAAAATCTTTTGAATATGCTGATTTGCTGCTCGAGAAACATTGATTTATTATTATCAATGTTGAAAACAGTTGTGCTGCTTAATATTTTTGTGATAGGCCTATATTATGCAGCACAACATTTTGATCAATTAAATGCATCCTTCCTAAATAAAAGTATTAATTTCTTTCAATAAAAAAACACCTTACTGACCAAACTTTTGAACAGTATTGTTTACTCAATTTTATCCATCACATTTGATTAATACATAACATACTTATTTACGGTTTATGAGTGTATCAGTGTCATTAGTAAACCAGTTTGGTTGAACATTCTTGACCTCTGGATTCATTAATATTATTATTTTTATTTTACTTCAAAGGCATCTGTGTTAGTAAAAACTTAATGACATGATCATGTTTTTGTGATTAATATGATACATTGTTTGCTTTGCAGGTTAAAATTTTTAAAAATGACCCATCATATTCTGTTTTACTGATTGTAGTTAGTATCATTCCCTTTTATGCATAATCATAAGACATTGTCATTCTGATTGAACATCTAATAAAACAAATAAAGTCTGTTATCTGTTGAATTCTGGCTGAGATGGTACGGCCGGATAAAGTCTAAGGCCACTGTATTTCCCATCAGGGGTTGGGTATGCCGCTCTTATCCTCCATATGCAGCAACTGGGTATTACTGGAATAGCATCTCTGGGTGTGCTGTCACCAAACCGCCATCTAATGAATTGAGCATAGGCCCCATGGCGCAGAGCCTCCTCTTGCAGCTCTGCTAGGGGATCCACATAGAACAACGCGGTCTCCAGGACGGAGCGACTGACAACCAGTGTTGAAAAGAGCGGGGAGGAGGTTATGCAGCGCCCTTTTCCTGATCGACAGCACAGCTGCTCCTGCAGGATGTCTGAAGGCCGGCAGCAGCCACACTGACACCAGGCCGGACACCCAGACTGTGACATCTCCAGTAATGGTGTATCTGTGCCCTGTCCGCTGCTGTGCCTTCTGGGAAGGTTTTCGTCTACCATAAGTCCACCACCCTGGCCATTTTGTACTGGCTCGCTTCTGCTTTGGTCACACTGCAGAACACTCATCAGAGTCTTCATGCTCGCCAAATCATTCTGATAGAGAACAGACCAGGGCTATTATAAGTAACTAAGGGTACGTTTACATGACAACGATGTACTAAAAACGGAAACGTTTTTTGCCTATAGACGACAATGTTGTTAAAACGATCCCGTTCACATGGATCCACGAAAATGATAAAAAAATGCTGTATTATGCATCCAGGCCAGTAGTTGGCGATGTAACTGTGTAAAGAAACACCACACCCCTATAGACTGAACACGTAATATGCATGAGCATGAGTTTTTGTAATTTACACAAACAATAAATGGCATTGTTTTAAAAAACTTGCTCTGTGAAACAAACCTGTTTTCAAAATTACGCATTTTCAGGCCCCCAAAACACCTTTGTCGTGTAAATGAACGGCCAAAACGCATAAAAAGTTGTGTAAACAGCCCCTAAAACTAAAACAATAAAAAACTTGAAAAAAATAAACGTTAACTGAAATAAAATATTAAAAATATTAATTTTATTTCAGCTAGTTGGTGAGGCAACATTTCTCATTTTCATTTAGTTTAACTTGTAATACAAAAAAACTCAAACTAAAATAAAATTAATATAAACTATAAAGACATTACAAAAAACAATTCTAATAAATTTTTTTAATGAAATTGGAAAAAAATAAATAAGAACTAATTCAAAATATTAATAAAAACGAATAGTATCTGACTGATTATTTAATTTGTGATATAATAAATTAATATAGTCCGACCAAAAAATATTTTTTTGGGGAAAATTAAAGTCATCATTTACTTACCCTAACATTGTTCTAAACAAAAAACCTAGATACATGAATGAATTCAAAACAATTTCAGTACATACAGTACACTGACGCTTAAGAAAGCACTAAAGCATGTCAGCGAAACGGTACATGCTGCTTGCTGATCATTTTCTCAGTATTTTACCACAATTTTCAGAATTTTAGCAGTAAAATAATGATGTGTAAAACCAGTGTAAAAGATTCATTGATGGTGCACAGGATTTTGCCATGTACAATTTTACAATATTATTGCTTAAATAACAGGTTATTTTTCACCAAAAACAACTCTTGGGAACAGCACTTGGGAAATAAAGTGCATGCTGACAATTCTGGGTGCTTTATTAGTGTTAAAGTGAGTCAGAATGTATTGCCATTGTATTGAATTCATTGTGTTTTGTGGTAAAAAGTTAGTCATACAGGCTTGTAGAGGTCTGCACGGGCTTTAAACTGAAGCCCGAACCCGGCCCGTACCCGCGATCATTTAACCCGACCCGACCCGACCCGACAATTACATTTACATATTAAGCCCGGACCCGACCCGAACCCGAGGTCCATTCTGTTTCTCACAGCAAATACCATTTTTTCACGTCTGCTGTCTGTCTGTATTGTGACTGAAATAGCGCGCGAGAGCGGTAGCACATGCGCAAAACAGGTTTGTGATATAAATGATATAATAAAATAAAACAAATAATTTATAAAAATTATATTTATATATATATATATCATTATCATTATATTTGAGAGAGAGAGCCTGTGTGTATGCACATATTGCACATCTGCACACGTATGTAGCCTACTTTCTCTCTCTCGCGTGCCGGTCACCACAGCAAGCAGGCAAAGCACACGGCACGCAAACTATATATAGCCTATTTAGTTTTTCTTAGTTAAACCCGAACCCGACCCGAACCCGAGACTGTTCATTAAACATTAACCCGAACCCAACCCGAAACCCGCACATTTTTCGGGACCCGTCGGGTCGGGTAGCAGACCTCTACAGGCTTGTAATGGCATAAGAATGAGTAAATGATGACATAACTTTCTTTTTTGGATGAACTAGTCTTTTAGTACAGTTTTAAAACTAAAATAATGCTTTATTTAGATTTAAAGTGGCAAGTGTGACTATAATTTGGGCATCTTACTTTGCGCTGGTGTAAGGAAAGGGGTTTCGTCTCTTGTAGTCTTTTCTTTCTGGATTTTTTCACCACCCTCAACTTGTCCTCATCCACAAATGACACACAAAGGAAGCACTGCAGAGACACACGTTACAACAAGTTAGATTCATACGTACAGAATCCCAGTTACAGCTTGTTTAAAGCATTAAAAGTGTGAAAAATCTGCCACACAACAAACTGAGTCTGTGTTTTTAATGTGTGTTCACTGTTCACCTCTTCTCGATCCTGAATGGCCTCAAACTTCCTCTCAGTGTAGGTCTGCTTTGCCTCTTTGGAATAACAGCCGGTACCAATAAGCCAGTCCAGGAATATTGTTGTCTAAAGAAAACTCAATGGTAAATATTTCATTATTTTAAAATCACCATCTGAGGGCTTAAGGGTTACTCACGAGAGCATAATACGAGAGCGTGGATCCAATGTAGATGATTAGCTGAATGATGCTGAATTTTCCAGCCTGTGAAGAATAAAAAGCACTCTTTGTATGTCCTAAAATCCAAAGCAAACATGCAAAGTTATGACAATATAGGATAATATGATCTCACCTTCCCAAACACCATCACATCAAACCTAATGCCATACATTTTAAAGAGTGTTCTCTGCTCCACACCATTCACTGTAGAGTATCTCGCAAACCTACAAAAAATAATATCTTTAAGAAAGGACTGTTGAAGAGTTCACATACTTTTCAGTATGATTTCAGTTGTTCATACCTGAAGTTGAGCCCAGGGTACACGGTTCGGTTGCTTTCTTTTTCGTCCAAGCGACGGAACGAGTATTTGGGCAGACAGTTGTGAAAAATGCGGTTCAGGTCACAGTCCCAGTTGATCTGGATCCCAATTACACCACCCTGTGAAGCAGATACATGGACAAGGCTATACTGGCATGCTTTATAACTAAATTACACAAATACACTACCGTTCATAAGTTTGGGGTACGTAAGATTTCTTTTTTTAAAGAAATGAATACTTTTAATCAGTAAGGATGCATTAAATTTATCAAAATTGGCAGTAAAGACTTATTTATATAATGTTACAAAAGATTTCTATTTCAAATAAATGCTGTTCTTTTGAACATTTTATTCATCAGAAAATATGAAATTTTTTATCAGTTTCCACAAACCCATTAAGCAGGACAACTGTTTTCAGAATTCATAATAATAAGAAATGTTTCTTGAGCACAAAATCAGCATATTAGAATTATTTCTGAAAGTTCATGTGACCAGGGTTGTTATCACTAACTAACATTAACTGAAATAAAATACAATTTTAAACTAAAATAAAAAAACATACTTTATTTCAGCTAGTTGCCGAAGCAACATTTTCCTTTTACTTTCCTTTACTTAACTCATTGTACTAAAAAAAATTATATTTTTTTAACATTTAAAAAAATACAAATAATTTAAAATTAAAGTGAAAACAGAAAATATAAAAAAATAAATATCTATTTCAAAATATTAACAAAAACTATAATAGTATATCAATGATAGTAAAATAACACTGCATGTGACACTGAAGACTGGAGTAAAGGCAGCTTTTCCATCATAGGAATAAATTACATTTTAAAATATTTAAATAGCAAATAGTTATTTTAACTTGTACAAATATTTCACAATATTACTGTTTTGATCAGATAAATGCAGCCTTTCTTAACATTAGAGACTTCCTTTAATATTTTTTTGAACATAAGTGTATATTTTAGAGTGTGCGTGGAACGAAAGGCATTTACCTCCACTGCCATCTCTGTAAAGTTCTCCTTGGCCTCACTCACAATGTCTCCCAAACGAAAAATGGGGCAGTATGGATTTTTATAGCGGTTATAGATGCAACCTTTAAGGTCAGTGTCCTTCATTTCAGGGAGGATGTTTCTTCTAAGACAAATAGATAAATGGATGCCTATATTATCAGTTTTTGAATAATGAATATTACCCTTGGTATTCTGGCTAGCATTTACTTCAAATACTGCTAACTGTTCACATATGCTTAAAGGTGCATTGCGCAAGTCTCTGAGTTTTTGCAGAACTATGCCCCCCTCTGGCGACAAGCGAAACTGCAACCAGAGGTGTGCACGCTCATGGACCACACGCACACGCACGCTTGCACGAGCTGTTCATAACCAAAGGAGCATCAGCCGCACAAATCTTTTGTTAACAGTCATAATGTCTTCAGAGGTTATAAAGTTATAAATCTGCAAGTCATTTTAAATATATGAAAGGAAAGGCATTTGAGTAAATTACACACTTACTGTATGTGTGAGGGGAAAACGGGGGTAGTAGAAAACTTCGGTTTTTGTTTCCATCTATCTCCATGTTGAACTGTTTTATTTACTGTATCCACTTATGATTGTATTATTATGGAAACACGTTCATGAACCGTTTTATCAAGAAAAAAGCCAACTGAGGATCCCGTTTGAGCCCTAGAGCAGACCGGAGATCTCTCCATTTGTTGAAAGCCTTCCCGATGTTGACTCTCGTCTTATTCCGACGCCTGTCTGACTCCAATTTGGCCCTTTTGGTGGCACTAGACAAAAGTTTTCTTTTCTTTGTCTTACGTGGAGTTTGCGTTGGGGTTAGGAATGAACTACAAGCCGGTCTCTTTGAATCCATCTTCTACTTTTGTCGAAAGTTGACTAAAGTTTTGTCGCTCGAGTTGTCTTCGCTGATACGGAGAATGGCGGCGCCGGCGAATACACAAACCTGCCAGACATAGCCAGTTGAGCGTGAACGCGCATGACGTCACGCCCAGTCTCAAATTCCGTCCCGAATCCCTCTTATTTATTTTACTGTACAGGATTATAGAGGCAATCGCAGTGATCAGAGAAGGGCTCATTCAGCCCATCAGGCAATTGTTTAAAGGGTTAGTTCGCCCATTTAAGACATGAAGTTGTATGCAATCCTTACCAGCACTATAGTGCATACACACTGACCCACTCTGCAGTCACCTCCCTGGTCAGAGTTCTGGCCGCTGGAAGTTTTTCAATAAAGTACTCCCGGTTATTTTCCGGTGCCACAAAACTGTGCGTTTTTACGTGAAAAAAATATTTGCGTTTCAAAGCTTGATTAATTTACCACACAAAAAACACGCCGGTCAAAATTCATACCTCAGTTTTAATCGGCACTATTTTCTATCCATTTCTATCAATCCGCGCTGCTGTCAACGTCAACAGTGTGCACGTTCCGATCAGCTGTTCCATAGTGTTTACACAATCGATTGACAACGACGTAAAAAGTATTAAATTAACAATGGTGCGAACTTTTGACCACAAGGATGTGCCGGGATCAAAGTTCAGATTCCATCGTTTTCCTGTTTCGAATATAACTATGAGACAGCTTACCGAGCATAATCTCCATCTGCTGTTAGTCGACCTCACCAGCAGGGGGTGCAAGCGCGTGTTGTTGATTTGGCTGGTTGCCATCGGCTACTCTGCGGGAGCAAAAATATCCAAAATAAAGGATTTTCGTGTGTGTAGTGCTCACTTCAGCGAAGACGATTACATCCCCAATCAAGGAGGAAAAGGAAAATTAAAGAGTTTTGCTGTACCAGTACAACGGGTAAGCTCTATTTACTAACTTTATGATCCCATGTCTAAACTGTACGGTAAACAAGCTGATGTTTAGTCTCCATTATAAAACACGTGAAAAGATGTCTAATTTAAAAACAGCTATAGGGATATTGGTACAATTTGCTGAGAAAACTATTTGATTGAACACACACACAATTGAGGTTTTGTGTTGCAATCAATAACATTGTCGTTGTGCTAAAATTACTTTCATCATCTGATCCGTCTGACAATGTGCTAAAATTGGTTTCATCATCAGAAGTTTCGCAGTCAGACATGTTGTCAGCGAGTCGCGCTATCAACAGCTGATCGGAACGTGCGCACTGTTGACGTTGACAGCAGCTCAGATTGATAGAAATGGATAGAAAATAGTGCCGATTAAAACTGGGGTATGAATTTTGACCGGCGTGTTTTTTGTGTGGTAAATTAATCAAGCTTTGAAACGCAAATAATTTTTTCACGTAAAAACGCACAGTTTTGTGGCACCGGAAAATAACCGGGAGTACTTTATTGAAAAACTTCCAGCGGCCAGAACTCTGACCAGGGAGGTGACAACAGAGTGGGTCAGTGTGTATGCACTATAGTGCTGGTAAGGATTGCATACAACTTCATGTCTTAAATGGGCGAACTAACCCTTTAAGCATGTATGGGTTAGAAAAACGGGTATTTTTAACATGAAATGTTGCGCAATGCACCTTTAAAGAATGTTAATGCACCAAATTTGTTCTGTAAATGCAACTTATGTACTACCTTATGTAATTAAAGGCTGGAAATCTGATGTTATTCTTGATCATCACAGTGAAATTTTCTGCAGATGCTAAAATAGCAGGTCTGGGGAAACAGAAATGAAAGCCTGACATAAGTAAACATCCACATACAGAATCTCAGTTTATGTCAAAGTAGCAAATAAAAGTGCATGTTCCTCAAACAGGTTCCTCAAAGGTCTCTACGGCAGCACTGATAAGTCTGAACTGCAGTGTCAACTGTTTTAACTTCTTTAGCAGCATTTCTCTCTTGCCAAATAGCTTTGCTGTCACAGTATGTTTATTGTAAAGTAGCATTGCACATTACAGCACCTGGGATTCTTCTTGTTCTCAATGGGGCACCAAGTCCTAACTTCACATGTTTTCCTCACTATGTCCAACTTCACACAAACACCTGTTTGAACACCTTAGAGGCAAACACAGGAACAGACCTCAGATCATGGAAAGACTTCAGATAATGGTTTAGGCTTTCACTGAAAAATAAAAAATACAGCTTGGGTAGAATTATTCAAATATTCAAAGAAATGATTGATTGGTCTGGCATTGAAATGTTTCCGCATAACAAATCTGCAGCCAGGACACAAATTGCATCTTCATGTAACGTTACCATGGTTATGTTGGTCAGACAACCCTTTCTCGCAGTCTTTGTCTGTTCGACACAGCTTTCCATGTGGTGGGACCTGAAGTAGAACATATGAACATCTGTTGAATGGATTATATTTGGCTATATTTGGCCATAAGGACAATGGAGATTGAATCATCACTAAATATAATGAGCCACAATGGAAATAAATCTTCAAGACTTGAGATATACTTCGTATTGCAACTGAAATAAAAATGAACTGCACTTACCTCTGGGCAATTACCTTGTTTTTGGTTCTTTGTGACTATGACATTTGTCGCGACAAAAAATGAGTTTTTTCCCTGCCGAAATAAAACAAGAACAACATTTTATGACTTTTTAACTTGTTTTTTAAGAGTTATTGGAATACAAACCTAAATCTGATTAAGAACTATTTTTTTGTGGTGCAAGACTGGAACAACTGGAAGTGAAGGGCAACTCTCTGAGAAAACAAAGGAAATGAACATCTGAACTATCTTGCTATATTAACATCCCCATTCGAGACACGATCACACTTGAGTTGATCACCTCCCAATCTACAAATCTCTCAATTCCCCATCTCGTCTCTCTCTCATGCTGAGATCACCTGAAATTCACCCAAACATCTGGGGGCTGTTTACACCTGGCCACTTCATGCGTTTTCTCAGATCGGATAGCTATCTGATTTATCAAAACGATTCCATTTACAGCTGGTCACATAAATGTGTTTTTTGCAAAACGGATATAAATCCGATCTTCAATTCCCGCTGCAGATTTAATGGAGTGCACGTCACCGAAAGCAACAGATATTGCTGCATTTTATTGATCATCAGCTAATTTCAAAATCAAAGACAGCAATAAGAGAGAGCGGCAACAGCCCTGGAAAAATCATTTTGTTTCTTTACTTTCAATGAAGATGATTGTGTTAAGCGTCTGCGACTTACTTTCACCTTGATTTGCGATAGTTTACGGCGCGTTGGCTTGATGAATAGACGCTCAGGTGCTCATCTGAGGTGATGCGTGTCGCAGTAGCGTCGTCATATCTGACTATAACATGACATATAGCCTATAACACGCTCTCACACGTTTATTTTTTAACATTTTTGGGAGAAGTAAAATTTACATATGTGGTTTCAACAACCAGATGCATTTACACTTGTCCAGTTTCGTCTGGAATGCGGCCCAGACCTAAAAAGGAGTGGTTTGAGCGATCGGATTTAAATCCGTCTGAATGCGTTTCGGAGGGCATTTACACCTGGTCTTTTCACGATCGGATAGCTATCCGATCACAGAAAACGCATGAAGTGGCCAGGTGTAAACAGCCCTCTGTATACGGTTTAATGTGAACAATTATCATACAACACTATACATGTTTGGTATCATTTGGAATGTCTCAGTGCGACTGGTACAAATGTCTCATCCCCAAAGAAGTAAAACAAAAGGTGATAAAGTTTTTTAAGAGTTTAGAGATATCTTTCTTACAGAGGCAAAGTATTTAGAGATATCTTTCTTACAGAGGAAAAGTATTTAGAGATATCTTTCTTACAGTGTCTTCCAGGCAAATGGTAGCCTGCCCTCAAAAGGTGTAAACTCTGACTGTTAGCAAATGTTTCCATGTGAAAGAAGTTTCTGACTCGGTCTGAGTTCCCTTACGAAAAAGAAGTTTATTCAAGTGAGCTATTAGTATACTTCTTTTAAACTAAAAATAAGAAAGTATACTTTCAGTCTACTTTTTATGTACTTCTCAGAAATATACTTCAAATTGCACTTAAGTATACTTGACTTATACTGACAGAAAAGTCTAAGTATATTTGCCATATACTTGTTGATCGAGATATTCTTAAAAGTATAATTAAATATTCTAAGTATTCTTGGCTTGTATTTGTGTTTACTATTTTGATTGAGTAGCTTATTAAATACTTTTTTTTTTTAAAACATAATATTACACATTGTCTTATAAACTAACATGTTCAAGTTTGAACATGCTTCCGGGTGGAATAGCTTCCGGGTGGAATAGCTTATAGAGTAAACAAAATAAGCATGAAACTGAACCTGATCTTGTACACAGCGATAATAATTACCCTTACGAAAAATAAGTTTATTCAAGTGTTCTATTAGTATACTTCTTTTCAACTAATAATAAGAAAGCATACTTTCAGTCTACATTTTATATACTTCTCAAAAATATACTTCATGTACTTCTCAGAAATATACTTAAAATTACACTTAAGTGTACGTATATTTGGCCTGTACTTGTACTCAATCTTTTGATCGAGATATACTTAAAAGTATAATTAAGTATTCGGTAACACTTTACAATAAGGTTCATTAGTTAACATTAGTTAATGTATTAACTAACATGAACTAACAATGAGCAATACATTTGTTACAGTATTTATTAATCTTTGTTAATGTTAGTTAATAAAAATACAGCTGTTCATTGTTTGTTCATGTTAGTTCACAGTGCATTAACTAATGTTAACAAATACAACCTTTGATTGTAATAACGTCTTAGTAAATGTTGAAATTAACATTAACTAAGATTAATAAATGCTGAAGAAGTATTGTTCAGTCTTAGTTCATGTTAACTAAGGTAGTTAACTAATGATAACTAATGAACCTTATTGTAAAGTGTTACCAAGTAGTATACTTGGCTTGTTAATCAAGTGTGTCGCTAAACTATTTTGTGGCATTCTAACCTAAATTCGAGTTCGTGATAAAATTAAGTCAGGTAAAAGTTTAATTGGAATTAAATTACTTTGCCACGATGAAAAGACAGTAACACGCAGTAAACCTTCACCCGCTTATCGTTGGACCGACTGGGCATGAAAAAGAATAGGCTAATAAATGGTGGTAGTGTTACCTGCGATAGTCCACTGTAGTCCACCACATCCCACACGACTTCTCCAATGTCTGGTATAGATATCTCTGCCACTCCCTTAACCTTTGTGGTGACAGAACTGACTACTAGATCATACTCTTGGTATTCCTTATTCCATAACATCATGATACTGGAAAGTAAAGACATAAATATGACTTGGGACTCCGAATGAATAATTTAATTTTCGTCGGTAACCTTACATCTAAAAACAGCATAACACGTATGACACACACTATCAATGAAGCTACATGAATGAGCTCTTGTTAAATGATGCGGGGGCGACAAGCATGAAGAACAACAGCGGAGACAAACTGCTCAGACACTTACCAAATGAACATCAAGATCACTACGTTTAAGGTCCATTTCAGCGACCCAAGTCTGACGCTCTTGATTTTGACGAGTTTTTGTGTGTCATATTCACAGAGGTTCAGCAATATGCAAGGCATGGTGGTGATTTGGTAAACACACACAGGGGAAGAATGACTCCGCAGCTGTGCTGAGCTCGCGCAGAAGAAGGTCACATGGTCTTCTGACAGTTTAGGAGGAGGTTGAAAGACTTTTCACTGAGACAAATGTAGGCTATTCAATTTCAAAATGACTACATATCCATTTTCATTTCGGAACTATGACGTCGTTTTGAAAGATAATTTAAATGTATTCTCAATAAATATATTATTTAATATATTTTATTTCTATGCGTTTAATTTTCATATTCAAACTGTACATTTTAACTTAAATAAATGTAAGATGCAAAATGTATCAAAATTTAATTTATATTGTAGGCCTAATATATTTTTATTGTATTTTCATCTCACTCTACCATTCACAGTGGACCAGACAAAACCTCATGAGTACAAGGATTATTCCTGCCAAAAATAAATAAAATAAAATAAAATAAAATATTGAATAATTAAATAATATTCTCAACGACACTACCGTTCAAAAGTTTAGAGTTGGTAAGATTAATGTTTTTGAAAGAAGTCTCTTATGCAGGCTGCATTTATCTGAACAAAAATACCATATATATATATATATATATATATATATATCCTTCAGAAATCATTCTAATATGACAATTTTATGCTTAAGAAATATTTCTTATTATTATCATCAATGGAATGAATATATCTTTCCATGATTTCTGGAAAGATAGAAATCGTTTATAACATTTTAGATGTCTTTACTGTCACTTTTTACTGTCACGTCAATTTAATGCGCCTTTGCTGAATAATTTCTTTTAAAACTCCTTTTAAAATGTCACTGAACTTGCAACAGCATTGTAAATATTAAGTCCAATTTACCTTATTTAACACACTGCATAGAAAAATCTATGAGGTTAAAATCATTCCCCTATCAATCCATTGTCCCTACTAGAATGACAATGAAGAGACTTTGACAGTGGAAAACTGAAGTCCCTATACATCTTGTAGGAGATTTGAATAGTAAAATTCTACAGACTGCATTTTATCCAATATATTTCTAAGTCTAAATAGCAAACAAACACGGATTTGAATAGGAAAATTTCTAACACTGATAACATGAACATTTAATACTGATTGTATTGTGAAAACAAATCTCACTGTAAATGACATGCATGAGTTGGATGTTGGAGTTGATGACCATCAGCGAAGACAATATAAATTCACAAATTCTCTTGTTTTATAATTTTGTTTTGTGTAAGCTGAACTGTAATGAACATGGTGCATTTCTCTCATTTTACCTAATTTGTGTTTCCAGCTTTGAACAAAGCCTGCTCTTATTCACTCACGCAAAGCCACTTTGCATATGAGATTCATTCCCTGTTTCTCTACAAGACAATGTTCATCTCTCCAGATCTCATATCAGTGCAGGACTCTGGTTTGTGTACTTCGCTCTCTATAGAGAAATCATGATCATGACCTTAATTGGGCACGTTCTTTTTTTTGTTGGACTTGCGCTTGTTGGTGTTTCTGGAAACTTATTTAACCTCGTTTTCACTATACAACAGCAAGTGAAGACCAGGACCATTCAGACTGTGGGTTTGATCCTAAACGTCATCTCCATCAGCAACATTATCTTGGTACTTGCCACCTTCTCATTGGTGATGGGTGTTTTTCAGGATCCCCAAATTTGGTGCATCACACCATATCCTTTGTCAATCCGGATTGAAACGTATCTAATGATGACTTGCAGCTTCAACAGCTTCTGGGCCATTGCATGGCTGAGTCTCTTCTACTGCATCAAAGTCGTGAGTTTTTCCTCTGAGTGCTTCCAGACACTGAAGAGGAAAATCTCTTCTGTGATCAACGCTGCAGTGCTGCTGAGCTGTTCTTTCTCCTTCTTGTTTTTCATTCCTCTGTTCTCACTTGACATTGCAAAATCATTGGATCAAAATGACAGTGTGAATGACATCGCTAACATGACCTGTCCGCAGCCCTCTTTCACTATAGATATTAACGAAAATGCATACGCAGCGGCTATCATTTGTCTCCTCTGCCCGATCCCTCTGATGATCATGCTGCCGACCTCTGTCCGAATGGTCGTCCATCTGTGCGCCCACACACTGGCACTCCAGAAGAACAAGACCCAGGTGCAAGGATCTGACTCGTACCTCCTGGTGTGCAAAATCACCATCTCCCTGGTGGGAGTTTATCTGTCCACTCTATTTATTGTGTCTTTGTTCATCATTATAAGGTTAATCGGGGAATTTATCACCTACCACACTCTAGCCAGTGCCTTTAGTTTTTACAGTGGCATGACTTCTTTACTTTTGACAGCTTCAAACAGGCATCTAAAAGACAAGCTCTGGAGTCTGTTCTGTTGTAGGAAGGCACAGGAACAATCTAGCAAAAGCCAGACAGTTGAGACAGGGGATGTTTGATATGATAAGGTCTGTTGATTTATAGACAACTAGCACTCACTATTTTTCTGATTTAGATGAAGTCACTTTGGATAAAAGCATATTATTAATTTGCGTCAACACCAACGCACAACGACAATCCTATTTATTATAAGCAGGCACTGCTGTTTTGTCATCTGCCACTTTAAATGCTCAACCTCTTTAAAGCTAGATGAATTCTGATTGGCTGTCAATGTTTTTATCCTTCATCAGCTGGAATTTTTTTTTTTTTTTTTTTGAAAGTGATGATATTGTTCCTCTGTGTCATTATTGTTTAAGTTGTGGTGTGGACTTTGCTATTTAAATTTAGAACAATTTGTAGAAAAATAGAAAACAAAAACTTGGCATCTTTAGCGTTACTGCCATATCATCCTTGGTGTGAATGTGCTTTAATTCATATGCATTTGTACAACCTTGTTAAATATTTACATTTTCCCATGAAACTTGGCTGTAATAACTAGAAACAAGTTAGTATTTATTTAATATAATATTAATATCAATTGTTCTTGTAGAGTGATGAAAAAGTTATTTTTTGTCTTAGTGATCTAAATGTAGTTGTGAAAAATACCAATAAAATGTCTATGGATTGAATGGATGAATACTGTTCTTGAACAACAGAGCATGGCCAAAGACTATGTACAGACATGTTTCACTCAGATGACTCATATTTCATTCATACTGCAACTGCTGTTAGAAGATTGGGATTGCACATGCGCATTGGCTTAAGCCTGAAATTTATACTTTTTAATTCTATTTGAGCATAAGAAACAACATTTTTGGCACAGTACATGTCACATGTTTTGCTGATTTGAAATGTGTAAATTTAAATGTGAGTTTGGCAAAGTTTTTAAGATTTATGTATTTCCCCATTTAAGTAGATACGAGTTGGTCTTGCATGCCCAAAATAGCGGTCCGGGGGTGTTGCAAAAATGGCCATAATGTGAAATTACTTTTACCTTGACAGGGATTTTAGCATGGCACTACCATTACCAAAGGTCATGGGTTTGACTCCAAGGAAACACGCTCTGATAAATGTATGAATGATTGTATAAATGCATAAATGTAGGTATAATTTTAATTTCACGAGTTCACACGTACATGAAATCTAAAGTTGTATTTATGCGTATTTGGCTTGCTGTCCGGGGGAGAGCTCCGAGCTCGGAATTTTGCCCGAACCCAGAGTACTCCCATACTGGGGTAGACCCAGCCGAGTGTGAGGTGATGGGGTGGTGGAGGGATGCTGAGACACTTGTCGTGAGACAGGAGGTGAGGAAAAGCTTTATTTATACCGGCTTCCTCTTGAGCTGATTGGTTGATTACCTTTGTTACATAACTTTGTTACATAAAACTTCATATAGTGTTTTTATTTTGAATACAGTGAATTTATTGATTTTGTTTTTGAATACAGTAATATTTTCTAATCCATATTTGATCTAGTCCACCATATTACCGCAAAGTAACTTGATGAAAAAATACAGTTTAAACATAAAATTAGACTAAAAGACCATGCAAAACAGACTTAGTTAAACATTTTCTGTATCCTTAGTTTGAGAAACTCAGGTAAGCCGTTGTTTTCAAAGGTTTGTGGCAATGTATCAACATTCATTATAACCTTATGGGCTTCATCGAAGACTTCCACACCAATCTCCTTCTTCACTCTGTCTCTCCAGGCATTCAGAGCAGGTCTGTCTTGAAACACATCTAGACCTGTACCGACCGGCTTCAAAACACACAAACACAATTGGTCAGTATGTCATGTTAAGGTCAAGCATTAGGAAATCAAATGTATAGAATGTACCTGCATCATCTCCACAATGGCTACAAGATCAGCCAGAGATATTTTCTCTCCAATTATAAAGGCTCTACTCTGCAGAAACTTCTCCTCAAAGGTCTTCAGAGACACACCGAGGTCCTCCACGGCAGCATCCATCTTCTCCTTGGGCACCGAATCGCCTGTGACCGCAGGTAAGACCCCCTAGAATTGTTGGAGAATGTTCAGTTACAGCCCAACATCTGATTAAGAAAACCATTTTGTCAAATATTACATATAGAGACAGTTGCATACTTGATAACTAGATCACCAAAAAGAGAGGTTACATAGTCACAATTTAGTCTTTACTCACAGACACAACAAGTGATCTAATGTTTATACAGCAAATCTTACCCTGAACCAGAAGACCTTTGACCCATGAGTTCTGATGTTTGTGTGCTGCCAGGAGAGAAACTCATCGACTCGTGCACGCTTCTGCAGATCAGCTGGATACCAGTGGTCAGGAGTGTGATGATTCGCTGCCAAGTACTGCAGTATAGCTATACTATATAGAAAGTATATAGGCTTAGGCTACTTAGTATTAGGAAATCTAAACATGTATCAAATGTTAAAAATCAAGGTAACTACATACCTCTCTGTGAGAATAAAATCTCCGTCTTTGAGAACAGGAACTTTCCTTATGATGCTGACCTTGCCAAATTCATCTCCATATTGTTCACCTTTGTGCACAGAGAAAAGAAAAAAAAGATATTGTATTGATGCCTATATAATGCAGAACATATACAAATCTATATCACTGAAGCCAAATACTTTTGCATGCAATATTAACCTAAAAACGTGCTTCTTGTGGAAGCATCTAAATTAATTTCTTGCTGATAAGTCCAAACTATTCACTTGTACATCAACCTAAATACATTATGTTAAAAGAAAACAAAAACATGTAATGGTTAGATCAGGTAAAACAGCTTGCATCAAGATTGCAGTGCAAATCCATAAAACAGCTAAATAAAAACAAAAATGTATAGGCTATCACCTGCAGATAAATCCACGGATTTGAATTCAAAGGGAATTTTATTTATCTTGGCAAATAGGAAGACTGAGCGGCATGGCTGGGAATGCAGATCGAGATACAACTCCAGTGGCATTTTGGCTGTGTGAAGTGTCCACGAAGAGAGATTAGTCCGCGTCTAATCCTCATATGTGCTGTGTTTATGCTCCGCCCTCCAGGGGTCAGTAGTACAATGTTCTTGCGACACCTAAAATTAGGTTACCATGTTGTGGCTGTCTGCTTCGTTTATCTAATTGCGTGCTGCTATTTATGTCATGATCAAAGACAAATGGCAGGAGCTGAGAAAAACTTGCATGTCATGAGGAATTTGCCTGAGATATGGTGAAAGGATGAGAGCGAGAGAGAGCTACTGTAACACACTGTGAAGAAACTGCACTGTAAAAAATATATGATCAATAAGTCATGACAGCTTATGTTTTACTTTAACTCATCAAAATAAGTTAAGCAATTTTCTACTTCAATTGTCAAGTTGATTGTAAATTTAAATTAAATTTAAACTTAAATTTAAGGCAGCATTTTTTTTTTTTTACATTGTGAAGAGAAGCTTCAAATATTGCTATTTCATGCACTTTCCCCACAAAGTAATGGTTAACTTGATTTTTTGAGTTTGTAAAAAAACAACGGTGTGTCAACAAAGATTGCTGTAATAGGCCAAAGTCCAATCACATTCACCCCCTCCAAACAACTCTTCCATAAGTTAATTCTTAATCACTGAAAAATATTATAAATTCTAATTTGTATTTGCATATTTTTAAAGTATTATTATAGAATGCTGAAAAATAAGATTTAGACTCAATTTCACAAGCAAACCCTGTTAAGATTTCTTGTTTTGTGCATGCATTCCTCAAGAATCTCAAGTAGGCTAATGCACGGCTGTATTTCCGGTGAAGGTCTAAGGATGCTGGATTACTTCCGCCGATCGTAGAGTCAAATGCTATACCAAGAATTTATATTGGTTTTTATGCTCTATTGCTATACTAAAGAAACGTTAGTCACAAAAACAGACAAAACAGACACCCCTCATTTTGTTTATGCTTCTTTGTTTATTATATTAAATAAACATAACTATATATAAAATGACATCTAAACGTATTAAAGTTTCGTTTCAAAGACAAGAGGACAGTACATTTTGAAGACTCTGCCATAATCCCGTTTTCCTCGGTTTTCCTCCGCTTTAAATCTCCCCAACCGGAAACGCAAGAGCATCCTTGCCTCAAACGCGGAATTTATGCGTGCATATAGCCCATTAAATCATCTTTTTACCCCCAATCCATTCATTTGGATGTAATGAATGCACTCCTATTACTGTAATTTCAGCGAAGTAGATCAAAATCCATATGCAGCTCTTTGATGCTTAGTGTTCTTTTTCTTTTAGAGGTATCTTTCCAGCATCAAATGATTAAGTGTATACCGGGCCTCCAAAGAACCATGCCACTGGTAACGCTGAATCGACTTCAGCTATGGCGGCTTGAGGAGAGTTCCAGGGTGGAGGAGGGACCCACCCGGCTCTCCATCCGCCTCGGGGAACCAGGGGCCCGGCTGTTTTTGCCCCCCTGCACACCAGCCCCTTGCGCCCGACTCGGAGAACCAGAGCTCCGGGCAGGGACCCCCACCTTGGCCCACCCTCCGCCCGACTCGGAGAACCGGAGCTCCTGCACAGCTCGGGCCTCCACCCTCACCAGCGCACCAGCCGGACCCGGGGGTCCCGCCTATAGAACACATTTAGGCCTACTTTAGATATCAGCTAAAAGCAGTTTGGAATAGCATAAGTTAAGATTTTATTTTGTATATTTGATAAAAAACCCTAAGTGTCATGTGGACTTTTAATGTCAATTCAGAAAGTAATGAAAACGTATTAGAAGTTTCATAATTTTTAATTGAAAAAATTGTTGCCACATGATGGCGCAAAAACACTTCAAAAAAATGGACCCGAAAGAATGAATTAGTGGATCGTTCCAACTCTTTATGACTTTCTTTCTCCTTGGACAGAAAGTTATGATTAATATTTAGTCTATTTATAAATAAATTTGTCAAGTTCTAGAACATGCTCCAGAATCAAATCACTGAGGGTGCTTCTCTAAGGCTGCTCTAGTGTGGATGTAGCCTATGCAAATGGCTCCACCATAACAAGAATAGCAAAGTATATAGTGAA